TCATCATCATCATCATCATCATCATCATCATCATCATCATCATCATCATCATCATCATCATCCCTGGAATTATTTATTATTTTATTTACTTTTTATGTATTTTTTTATATTCTATTCCAACTTCCTATCAAAACTAGGCAGCCAACAACATAATGATGACTAGTTCACCAAGTCACCTTGCCTCCCTCTTTGATTCTAGCACACTGTGTTCCATTCATTGCTCTTTTCCCCCCTACTAAGCTTTGTTCTCTTCTCCAGGGATCAAAAACTACGAGAAAAAAAGATGGCACCAGTGAAACTTACTCCCAGCATCTCTCAGCAGCCCTTGTTCCCAAGGCAGAGGCCGCTTTGAAACAGACCTCAGGGACAATGGTGAACAAAACTAGGATTAATTCTTCTATTCCTGGACTCGATGCATCCTTGGTGCCCCAGTTCCAGGAGGCCATTGGTATTTTCTTCATGGTCATGCTGAGTATCATTGCTTTAGTTGCCAACACAGCCATCATGGTGGTCATTCTCAAGACACCTCTGTTGAGGAAGTTCATTTTTGTCTGCCACCTCTGTCTTGTCGACCTCTTATCGGCCATTTTCATCATGCCCCTTGGGATCATCTCCAGCTCCACTTGCTTCAACAGAGTCTTATACAGCATTGCGGAATGCCAGACACTGATCTTTCTGAATGTCTGCTTCATCTCTGCCTCCATCATCACCATCTCCGTTATCAGCATCGAACGGTATTACTATATAGTCCACCCCATGAGGTATGAAGTTAAGATGACGACAGGCCTTGCAGTCACCGTGATCGCGTTCATCTGGATTAAGTCCATCCTTGTGGCTGCTTTGGCACTGGTGGGCTGGCCACAAGACAACGGGGCCAGTAGCGCCAGCAAATGCACTGTCTGCTGGAGCCCTGGAGCCCACAAGAGGATCTTTGTGATCATCTTCTGCATCCTCTGCTTCATAGTGCCCACCTTGATCATCTTTGCAGTCTATGGCAGCATCTACAAGGTGGCTCGGATTGCCTCCTTACAGCATGCACCTCAGCCTGTCCCATCCTGGACAGCCACCACCATACCTAGACAAAGATCAGACTCTGTTCACAGCCAGGTCACTATCATCACCACCAGGAATGTGCCTCCCAGGCTGTCACCGGAACGGTTGTTTGGTGGAAATAAAGCTGCCTTGACACTGGTCTTGATAGTGGGCCAATTCCTCTGCTGCTGGCTTCCATTCTTCTCCTTCCACCTTCACTGTTCCATCTACTCTCCTTCCTCCATCTCTAGTTATGGTGAGATTGTTGTGACCTGGCTTGCTTACTCCTCCTTTGCTATCAACCCTTTTTTCTATGGGCTCCTGAACCGCCAAATCAGGGAAGAATTGGCCAAGCTGGGACGACACTGTCTCAGCAAGCCCCTGGGTCAAGAGCTGTGTCTCTCCAGCCCAGAAGGCTCGATCCATGAGAATTTCCTCCAGTTCCTGCAGAGGACCAGTTGCACCACCGAGACTCGTTCCAGCTATGTGAACTCGAGCCCCAGGAATACTTTGGACCAGACTGCGGTAGGATTCCGAATTCCAGGACAAATCCCAGAAGAAACCAACTGATGAAAGGCTGGTATGTTGGAGTCATTCCCACATCTCTTCCCATGCAACGTTTTTCTATTTGTAGATGCTAAAAACATTGTTAACATGACGCCAGCACAAAAGCTGCTATTGTTCTCCAGCCACGTAATGGAAAGTCGTTTGTTTAAGAAATCATATTTAAAACAACAGCCGCCATGACAGCTGTGCTCCAGCTCTGGAGAAACAGGAGCCTAAGAACTACAAAGGCAATCTGAAATGATGGCCTGCTCTAAACGTGTTAAAAGGACAAAGAGAGGGCAGGAGGTTCATCAAGTACTGTATGATATTAGACTAGAGAAACTAAGATCCACGTGATATTCATTATTTCAATTGTTGGAGCAAGAAAGTGCGCATGCATTTCCAAGCAACTTATCACTGTCGATGCAGACAGGTAGATTTCCTTAGCAAAACAGATGTTAGGTAAGGGGATGTTCTCATGAAATAAACTCAGTAAAATAAGGAACCACAGTCTCTGTTCCCTGTGCAAGAATAATGTGTTCTAGGCCAGTTGTTCTGAGATGCATTTCTGCTCTGTTAAAATCCATTGCATTTGTGAGTGGATGCCTCATAGGTGTGCTGGAAAGCATATGTATTTTAAACTGCTCAAGTTGCACCAATGATCAGTATCAATTCTATTTTTTGTCTAAAGCTGGCTTTAAGAAGGGACAAGAAAATGGAAGGCTCTCAACAAAAGAGGGCAGAGAATCTCTTTAGTATTCATTCTGCCTCTCCCAAGAAGGTTTCTAATAGTTCTGTTACAAAATCTAAGCCATAATCGTATATCCAAGTTTTCAAAGTTACGTCTCTGTGTTTGGGAGTATAGGTAAAACGTCCCAGTGTGCAGATTGATTGAAGTCTTTCCTGTATGGTGTTGGCCAGCCTTCCCTATCATGGGTGGAGTCACAGTGTTAGGGGGTGATAGCATATGTAGTCCAAAACATTTGGAGAGCAGAGGTCTGGGGAACGCTTTCATAGGCCTTTCCCATTTTATTCCTTATTCAAAGCACACATACATTCACTCATCAATAAATGAATATGGGATCCATGTAAGTGCCATGAGTTCTCAGGAAAAATCCTGGAAACTGCAGATTGAAAATGATTTGAACATTCTTTAACCCATTATAGAACTATTGTCCCTATGATTTCCCACAAAGAAGCCATGGGTGTTAAAATCCACTTTGAGTCAGCCTATAATAACTGTACTATACTGACTTGCTTCTGGTTTCGTTTCAGGCAATTTCAAAAACAAATGTTTATCAGTAGTGTGTAATTTGTGTTAACCATGGATTGCTACTTAAGCCACATATTACACATCAGATAATTCTCGGACAATTGTCCCTTCCTTCCTTCCTTCCTTCCTT